GTTTCATATCATGAGAAGAGAAGAAGATGAATGCAAAGTTTTATCTATAAAATAATTTCAGTGATGTTACATAGGTCTAAACATGCATAGAAAAAAATCCTGGAAGAAGACAGACTGCAGTGTGATCATTTTTATCTCTGGGTAATCAGATAACAGATTTTTTTTTTTTTTGAGTTGAAGTACTCAAGTGTTCTACAAAGAATAAATTCCTTTAAAATCTAAAAGAAATTCCGATTCCATGCTATTTTGAAACTTTTATCAGTGGAATCTGATTGGATGTTGACTTGGAGTTAATGAGGCTGGACAGTGGCAGGTCAGCCAACAGAGCTCGGCACCGTATCCAAGTGGTGGGTTCGAGTCCTGCTCTCATTCTGTGGAAAGGCTCAGTTCAGAGAAATAGCAGAAAGGACATCATGAGGTTACCTGTTACACATTCAGAGATGACAGCACAAGCCAAATGTCATCGAATGTGCAAAAGTTCTACCCATAATTAAGTTGAACATAGACAGAGTTGGGCAAAATTTAATTCTCTGTGGTTCTTTTGTTTTAGGTGTTGGTGGGTTACAACGTTAAGCCAAGGGCTTTCTATTTGAAATACTACAGGAGGAACCCTTATTAGATTTTCTCCATAAGGGCTTTAGTTTGCTGAATGTTTTTAATGTTAAAAGCATACTAAACACCCAACCTTGTCTTAATACCTCCAGTCTGCATCTAATCACCAGCTAATGAATGTTTACTAAATACCTCTCTGTACAAGTTATCAGCCCTTAAAATCTAGTAGGAAAAAATGTCCACTACTATAGAAGAGCACAACATGAGGCCTAGAGGACAGGGATGGGTTCATTACGCTGGGCATCTCGGTGGCTGTTGGGTAACCCTCCATTATCTGGCCCCGCATCACCTCTGTGAACTTACTTACCATTATTCTCAAGTGTACACCTCCACAGGGCTGTCTCTCTTCACAGCTAGCCACAGTCCATATCAGTTATGAAGGCTTTCAGCTGTGCATCTCTATCAACGACTTACATTGTAAGGACAAGCCTTGTTTTCTTATCAAGTTCAAAGGTAGGCAGGTAATCTCAGAATTGGTCAAACAGGTGATTGTCACTGGGGTCTTGGGTTATCCTTAGCATATATTAGCATAAATCATCCTTCGTATATTAATGTTCATCACCATGTGAGTTGTCTCATGGTAACAAGATGTCTGCTATAGCTCCAGACATCACATAATGTTCATATTTAGGAAGGAAGAGAAAAGAATGATGCAAGTTTTTCTCTTCAGTTTGTCCCTTTATCGGGGAAGCAAAAGGCTTCCCAAAAGACATCCTACTCCCCCACTTAGGCTTTGTTGTATGTTTTCTTTGGCAAAGAGTGGATCACACCATTACCCTAAGCTGCAAAGAAGGCTAGGGAAATGGATATAAGCCTTCTGTGGTCTCTAGTGCTGCGCTGTCCAATATGGTAGTCATTAGCTACATGTGACTCTTCATACTTGCACTGTAACCATTGCAACTGAGGCGCTGAGCTTCTGATTTTTAATGAGCTTAATTTAAACTTTAAAATGGAGGCAGTGAGAGCAATTTACCCATTATGTACACCTTTCATTTTTTGGCAGGATTACATTTCACTCTACATTGCATGGCATATTATTAATATACTTGTTATTTTTAATATGACACATAAATATTTAACTGACCAATTTTGCCAGTATGGATAAAAATATTAAAGGACAATAATTATTTGGTACTCAATTTGATCTTTGGAAATTCTTTAAGTATTTTTACATTTCATAATTATAAGTCTCATCAAACAAATATAGATCAAGTGTTCCTAATGTGAATTCAGTATCTGAATTGAGATATACTATAAACTATGTAGTTCAAAGATTTAATATTAAAAAGTAAAATATTTAAATAATCTTACAAGTTGTTACAGTTTATGTCAACATGTCCTCCCGCTTCAAAGCCTCATGCAGTCCCTGGGGATGAGCTTTTCAGAAGTGGATTAATCTAGAGTCTGTGATTGATTCACAGTCCAAAGTTGGAGTTAAGGGTGTTAGAGCTACACCCACCCTAAGCAGGTAGCCTGCATACAATATAGGAACAGAAGGAGCTTGTTCCTTCTCCCTCCTTCCACTTGTTGATTTTGATTTTTTTCTACCACCATGCTGTTGCCCCTCCGTCATGTGCTACCCTGCCTTGGAGCCAGACAATTATGGACTGAACCCTCCACAAACTGTGAGCTAAATAAACCTTTCCTCCCTTAACTTGTGGTTGTTGGGTATTTTGTCTCAGCAACAAGAAAATTAACTAAGGCATAAGTACTCGTTACAATGTTGAAAATATCATATCATATTTGGGATATATTGGGATATACATATATTAAGGCAGGGTCTTGCTATTCAGTTCAGGCTGACCTTGAGCTCACTTTGTAGCCCAGCCTGGTCTCAAACTTGTAACGATTCTCCTGCCCCAACCTCCCAAATGCTGGGATTACAGGTGTGCACCACCACACATGGCATTAATTTCTCCTGTTTCTTTTTACATTTTTAATATATCTACTAGAGAACCTAAAGTTGTGTACATGGTTTGCATCATATTTTTATTGGACAGTGCTGGCCTGGAGTGAGAGACAGGTGAGGGGAAGAGTTGAAGATGTGAGGTTAGCCAACTGAAAGTGCCTTTTGCTCAGACTTCCAGCTGAAGAATGCTTCTGCTCTCCACATGGTGACCTGGCACACAGCAGTGCTGAGTCTCAATTGTGATTTACTGTTGACCCTTCTGCTCTTATTAAGCGGGCATCAAACAAGATCTAGCTGAGCTTTAAGCAGATCTTTGCCTAAGGCTGACCTTTTCCAAAACTCATCTTTAACTACTCAACTTAGCATTTTATGCATACTTATTTGCATTTAAGAAACATTAATGGTGTATTCAAATGAATGTGAAGGCAGGCAAGAATAAGGATAATAATTCTTCCAGGAGGAGTCATGAAAGTTTTCCCAGAAGAGGTGGTACTTGAACTGAAATTAGAAAAATGAACTAGATGGAGCCTGCTGTGCAGGAAAGGGGATTCTGAACCCAGGAGGCAGCACTACAAAGGCAGGAAAAGTCATCATGCTTTGGGATATGGTGAAAAACTTTTCGTAGCTAGAGTAAAGGTTGCTTGGAATTAAGGCTAGTGTTTGGAATTTCTGTAAGGGTTGAGTGGTGTTATGGCTTGCGTCTAGTTGTCCCCCTAAAGCTTCATGCAGTCATAGATGGGGATTTTTCAGAGGTGGCTGAATCTAGAATGTATGATGCTGGGATTAAAGGTGTGTAATTACTAAATTAGTCCACTGATTGGTTTGGCACCCTTCTGAAGATAGGTAACCTAGATAGAATATAAAAGAGACAGAAAAAAGCTGCTTTTGTTGTTTGTTGGTCTCTTAGTTGTTTTTGCAGTCTTCTGCCTGCGGTGAGCTGTTTCTCCTCTGCAGTGCCACCCTACGTAGAGCCATTCAGCTATGAAATGAAACTTCTACAAACTGTCAACTAAATAAACCTTTCTTCCTTTTACTTTAAGTGTCAGATATTTTGTCTCAGCAACAAGAAAAGTAACCAAAACAAGTGGAGAAATAAGCATGTTATTCCCCACATTTGAATGATAATTTAGCTTAATATAGAATTCTAGGTCAATACATATTCACTGTCAGTACTTTAAAGATATTATTCTTTTGTTTTCTTTACTTCCGTTGTTGTTCCTGGGGAGTATGCTACCAACATAACTGATATTCCTTGGTCAGCATGTGCATTTCCTCTGGCTCCTCTTAAGACCTTTTGTCTTTGGTGCTGTTAGTATCACTGTGATATCTAGGGAATAAATTTTATTTTTATTGCTCTTGATTAAGATCTATTGTGCTCCTGGATATCAAAATGCATGTATTTATTATTTCTGAAAAATGTAGGGCTATTACCGCTTCTAATACTGCTTCTCCACATTCCCTCTATTCATAGCTTTGGAAACTCCTGTTATACATGTGTTGGACCTAATTACACAATCATGACCCCTCTCTGTCTCTCTCACTCTCTGTCTCTCTGTCTCTTTCTCTCCCTATCTCTTTCTCTCTTTCTCTCTCTCTCTTTGTCTCTTTCTCTCTCTCTTTCTCTCTCTCTCTCTTTCTCTCTCTCTCTTTCTCTCTCTCTTTCTCTCTCTCTCTTTCTCTCTCTCTCTTTCTCTCTCTCTCTTTCTCTCTCTCTCTCTCTTTCTCTCTCTCTCTCTCTCTCTTGCTCTCTTTCTCTCTCTCTTTTTCTCTCTCTCTCTCTCTCTTTCTCTCTCTCTCTCTCTTTCTCTCTCTCTCTCTCTTGCTCTTTCTCATATCTTTGCATCAACAAGTTCCTGGTGCCCGATACATACATATTTTTCAATTTTTTCAATTACTTTAATTAATATGTGTTTTAAAACTGGCTTAAAATGTAGGTTTATATTCCTGCAACAACACAAAAATTTGAGTATATACAAAGACAGCTAGTTAGACATCACATGCCAGTAGTAATGTCCACTATAGTCAACACTTCGTTTCTTTTCCATTCCCACTGATAACTTCATGGTTAGTTATATCACTTAGATAGTCAGGCAATCTAGCCGTCAGTAAGGGAAGATCAGAGTGAACAAAGACATCAAAGGAGAATATAAAGAAAATATACCAACACACCAGAGGAGAAAATGTGAATGATTAAGAAATATTTAGAGATAGCAGAGAGGTAATGAGGTATGAAAAATTGAAAATCATGTACTATGATTGCCGATTAGGAGATAATTGGTAACTGTTATGTTCTGGCTTTATTTTGCATGGCGTTTATTGATTCTTCATCAGCCACAAAGATTAGCAGAAAGCAGAGAAAATGGATACTCAAAAACTATTTTGTTTTGTGGTACTAGGGATTGAACCCAGGGCCTTGCCCATGCTAGCCAAGCACTTTGTCACTGAGACTCAAAAACTACTGAGTGATTGATTAGTGGATTTTATTTGGGGGTTGGGAAACATATGAAATTAGTCTTCTGGTAACCATTATTTCTATGGAAGGGACAAGCAGTAATGGATTCAAGAAACAAGAAAAGCAATTTTAAATCAAAAGTAATTTGGAAAGGATATAAAATCTGAAAGTCAGACAGTTTGACCCAGAGCCAAATCTCCCAGGCAGTTTATGGTATCTTCTTCAGTGGTGTAGATGAATGGGCAGCTGTTTAGAAGGATTAATTGGAAATCCCAAAACTCTTCTTCAAAAAAATGCACGCTTGGCCCATGTAGCCCTCCAGTTCACTCTGGCCCATTTCTCCTTATTCTATTCCTGTGCAGTGTTATTCATACCTACGGCATCAGAGAAGAGAAATGGTATTTCCAGATCAGTTACCTCTTTTGCAATTGACAAATTGTAATGATCATTTCACTGCTTCCTCCACCAAAGACTAATGTAGCTGGTGCCCTCAGGAGCAGGCTCTGTAACAGAAGGCCTCAGGATGTGCCTTCTGCCATAGACCCATCACAAGATCACATTTATTTAGTACGAGTGCTCTGTCTGTCAGTCCATCTGTCTAAGTAACTAGCTTTGGGCAGTGCAGAGGTATCGATCATTACTCATTCTCTAACAAATTTGTGAGTTAAATCAACCCAAGAAAGATATTTCTTCTTTGACCTCAATTCCAGTAGATCAAGTGATCTGGAAGAGGGACAGGAAAAGGGAGAATGTCCAAGCATTATACGTTGTAGGAATCTTACGCTTTTGGCTTCACAAGTTGATTTTTGCATCAGTTCTGAAATGAATTTTCCTGCTCATTTGCTTTCTGTGCCATTTTTACTGTTTATTTTGTTGCTTGGCTTGCAGCGGGCCTGAGCTTGACTTTGGTCCATACGTCTGGAAAGCATAGTACAGTGTGCTCTCTCTCTACACATCCTGCTCTCTTAATAAAAATGTTCCTTTTTTTCCCCTTTAATACCGAATGGTTGATCACAGCATTTGGTAACAGAACAAAAACTGATAATTTAGTTAAAATGAGTCATTTTTGCGCCAGACTGGGAGCTCCATGACTCATAATTATAAGTTCAAAGACTGGTTGTTTGCAACAAGAGGAAGCCCGGGCAGAGGGGCTTTCAGCCTGCTCTGCTTTTTGCATTCTTTATATCCAGAGAGCAAATTACTGCCCAAGGCAACACCGAGCTCGTTAGTGAGCCCAGGGACAGGCAAGGCTGCTTCCTGAGCTGGGCGGAGAGGCCGGGTCCTCCGACCAAGCCGCACCAGCCACCAACAGTCAGCTCAGCCTGAAGCGCCTGCCAGTGGAGGTTTCCTCCCACAGATGAAGGCCAATCTGAGTTTTTAAAGCAAATTAAGTTGAGCTGCTTCTTCATCATGCTACTTAACTTTTTATCACTCTTTCCTTCCTCCTCCTCTTTCCACCATGTAGCAGATGGGGGCAATTAGGGCCCGTGCCCTTGGCATTGTTTCCACCATGCGATTCTGCTCCTGGTTTAGAGAAAAGACAGGATTTAATGCAAATACTGAGAGAGAAGCTGCTCGCTGTGTGCTGCCGCCACATGGAGAGGCAGGCTGGCAAAGAAAGCAGAGCACAGAACAGGAGGAGCTCTGAGGCCAGGAGGATCCTAAAGGTACGACAGAAGAGAGTGCATCATGGCCGAGGGGCTAGAGCAGGGCTAGAGGGACCGTGATCTGGAGGGACAGAGCCTCTGCAGGGACCCAAAGGAGGTCAGGGGACATGATTTGAGCCGGGCTTTCGCAGTCAGGCTGTCCTCTTAAATAAGAAAAAGATCCCTCAGGTCTTTGCTCAGCACCAGTCATCATCCAGGCTCAAAACTCCTTCCCTGACGTTTGTCAACATATATTTTTTTATATTTAAAAAAAACAGTTTTATTACAACAGACTGGGAAACTAAAGGAGCCCAGCCCAAATGTTGATCCATAAGCAGAAACACTGTCCAGCTCTCAAGGTTTTGAGAAACAGTTTGCCTTGATCTCTCTCAGGTTTCATATCACTATCACACTTCTCACCAGCCTGGATTTTGTTCCCCTAAGGATGTATCATGAGGGAGAGAAACAGGCATTTATCAAGGGCCTGCTGTGAACTAGGGACAGTATATATTTTTCACATCAGTCCTACTAATCTTCCAGATGGCCTATGAAGCAGCTACCATTAGCCCCATTTTGCAGGTAAGGACACTGCAGATACCACCCATTTATAGGCTGAGGAACTGCAGACCCATCTTTTGTATGATCATTCTTTCCTCAGGCAGCCTGGTCTCCACAAACTTGGGCACTTGCTTTTACTAAGTATCCCTTATTGACCACCTGACACGTGTCAGACACAGGAAATGTTCACGCAACACCTTCTAGAACCTTCTTTCAGTTAGGTTTTCATATCCAGAATGCTCAGTATACTTCTCACAGCCTGATCATTCCCTTCTTACAGACTGTACATTCCCCTGACCCAGCTTTTCCAGAGTGTAGGAGCCTCAACATCTGTGTCAGTCTTTGCTCTCCCTTTTTTTTTTTTTTTTTTTTTTTTTTTTGGTGCTGAGAACCAGACCCAAGGCTCTGGCTTGCTAGACAAGCATTCTACCACTGAGCTAAATCTCCAGCCCCTGTGTCAGTCAAGCAGACTGGCTTAAGTGACTCCTAGAGAGGCAATTGGGTTGTGAGAGCACTGCCCTCCTCATCAGTGAGTGCACTGCTGAATGGGCTATTAGGAGACAGGGCCTAGTTGGAAGAAGTGGGTCATGGGGAAATGAATTTAGGGGCTTTATCTGTTCCTGACCCCCTCCTTCTTCCTCTGGTTTCTGATTCATGGATGCTATGAGTTTAGCACTTCTCCTCTGTCATGAGGTTCCTGCCTTGGAGCCAGCCCACCATGGACTTAAAACTCGGAAACCGTGAGCCCAAACAACCTTCTCCTTTAAGTGGCAAGTCTCAGCTATTTTGTCATAGCAGTGGGACAGCTGACTAATACAACATCCTAAACACACAGTCACCCCCACTCTTCTGCCACCATTGCACACATACCAACCCAGGTCTACTTCTTTTCACTTCCCACAGGAAAGCCAAGGACCACAAGAATTAAGCAATGAGCACAAGATCATAACAGTTCTTTCCCCCAGAACTTCTCTCAGGAAGTCAGCTGGCTTCCTAAAAAGCAAGAACTTTAATTTGGACTTTCCCTACAAGAAGCTAGCCTACAGAAATTATCCAGAGTGCATGTGTGAAAATCACTTCCTCAGAGAGGCCATCCTCTGATCCCTTTCTATCCTTGTATTTTTTGTCATCCCTCCTCATGGAGTTTGAATAGTATATTTCTTTGTTTCTCTTGTCTGTGGCCCTCAGTAGAATGTAAGTTCTCCAAAGGAAAGAAGCCTATGCCTACCGCTTTATTCCAAGTTCTGAGAACAGTAGCTGACATAGAGTGGGCACTGTAAATACTTGTTGAGATGATTCATTAAATGTGGAATAGCATTTATGCACCAAGACACTATTGCAGTATTATTTACATAGCACATATATAAAACAATGTAAATGTCCAATCTTAGGGAATGGCCTATCATGATGATATATTACACAGCTATAAAAAGTAATATTCATGAAGATTTTAATGACATAAAAAAAGATGATGAGATGGTGTTAAGTAAAATATAAACAGGCTGCAAAATTGTACACACATTATCATCTGAACTGTGTAGTAAAACATCCCAGGGAGAACTGGAAGGAAAAGGAAGGGATTATGGTGACTTTTTTTCTTGCTTCTTTGCAGCACTCTATATTTCACAAAATGTCTGCAAGGAGCGAGCTATACCTTGACAATTAGAAAAAACTAAAATGATACCTTTGGCATGTTCTGCCTCATCAGAAACCGACCCCACATGGGAGTTGACATCTGTAGAACTTTCCTCCTGAGCTCGCTGCATTTCTCTCTGAACTCCTAGAGGACATCGGATTGAAGAGGAAATTCCCCCAGAAACCTTCCCATGGCTTAATACACATGGCTCCTTGGGGAGCCTTTAATACACATGTGGCTTAATACACTTGGCTCCTTGGGGAACTTATTGCTCTGTAGAGAAAGTGCAAGACACGTGCATTCATATTTGTAGGTGGCAGTTAGTATGGCTCCCTTTAGAAATAATCATTTAGAGGCCTAAAATGCAAGAAATAACAACAAATCACGACCACAGAACTGAACACCTAGTGAGAAAGCATGAAGAGGTGGGGGAAACTGAGCCCAGCCAGGTCCCCAGGAAAGAAGAGCTCATATGACAACTCTGAACATGGGTATAAAAAGGAGAGACCTCAGTCCTGGGTCAGAATCTTCACAGAGGAGCAGTCTGGCTTGATAGACCAGGGCCTCGATATGCAAGGGTGCCACTCTGGGACCTATGAGAGGACCGACTTCCTGTGGGACTGTGACTTTTCCCTTCCTCCTCCCTTCTCTGAGCACTGGAGAGGGAGCAATACCAACATAGGCCAGCCTTTGTGAAGCTTTCAGTCTGTCCAACACATGCGTACCTGGTTTCCAATGGACCAGAGGGTATTAAAACAAAAATAATGTAGGAGACTACTGGGGTGGGTTGGGTAGTGGTACATGAACTGAGCACTGCATAAAGAGGTGATAATCACCAAGATCCAAGGAGAGACCGTTCCAGACAGAGAAGCAAACAGCAAGTAGAAGGGCCCAAAGGCAGAATTAGTATGGCCTTGATCAAGGCCAGCAAGCAGGAGGCGTACGCAGAGGAGCCTGAGTGGGGCGTGAGGGGCAATAACTGTCGGGACCTGCTGGGCCAAGGTTGGGGTTCCTTCAGGTTTAGGAATTGCCAGGGGAAGCCCTTGGAGAGCTTAAAGCAGACAGCACCATGACTGTGTTCCTGAAAGGTCACTGGGACGGCCCTGGGGAGAATCTGTCTCAGAAGGGCAAGGTGGGGCTGGTGAAGCAGGCCAGGGATGGTCCAGGTGGGGAGTGGCGAGGACCTCGGCTGGCACAACACAGAGACAAAGAGGAGCCCAGCAGCAGAAAGTGGGTTTTTGAAGGAGAGTTGACAGGAGCTGCTGGTGAAGCTGATGAAGCTTGCTCAGGGCTGAGAAGCCAGACAACAGCCTAGGACTTTTGCTTCAATAAATGGTGCCATTTACTAACATGGAAACCACTGGGGGAAGCAGCTTGGGGTAGAGTTTGGAATGGACATGAAATGTGGGGATACGTTTTTAAACAAGCAAGGAGATATTTCAAACGAAACTCCAGTTTGGCCCTCAAAGGAGAGGACAGGGGTGAAGATACACACTTTGGAGCCATCTGTGTGTAATACACAGCAAAGCCATATAGCTGGACGACGAGCAGTGTGCCCCGGGCTGAGTCCTCCTGCGCTATGATATGTGGGCAGTGGAAAGAGAAGCCAGGAACGTAGGGAAGTCAGGAGAGAGCGGTGTCTGGAGGCCAAGGGCGGAAGTGCGTCCAGCAGGCAGTGTCTCAGTCAGGGTGGACCAGGCTGTGCTCTCCGAGTAAGTCAGCACCCACTCTCAGCGGCTCATGACAAAATGTAGCTCTCATTCATGCTGCATAAACAGCGTGAGCTGATGGAGTCCCAGGGTCCCCAGCTGGTGGAGACCACACTGGGGTTGACCCCATTGCCAGGTTCAGGACAGAGAGATCGTGGAGAACCGCACCAGGAAGTCACCCGTGTCACTGCCACTTACGCCCGCTGGCCAGCGCTGGTCACACGCACGTCCCTGTACTGTTCTGCCGCGTATGTAGAAGTCAACTGAAATAAAGAGAGAAAACTGACCGCTGGCTTTGGTGACACTGAGGTCACTGGGGACCACGAAGGGGCCATGTTAGCGGAGTGGAAGAGAAACAGCGCAGTAGGAGTGATTAGGGGAGAGGGGAGGAGAGGCTTTGGAAACGCTGAATACAGGAAAAGCTGTTGCACATTTTTTGTTCAAAGCAACCAGAGAAGTGGAAAGATAACTGGAAGATGAACAGGGTAAAAGGAGACTACTGTTAACAGAGTATTTTCCCCGACTCTCTGCGCATCCCACACTAAGCGGATGAACTTTTCTTGTATTTCGCCCGTGACCGAGGGGTCTTGAAAACGACTGTGTCAGCCTTTCACTTTGTACACGTTCAAATTCATCTACCTCCGCGTTCAACCCATTCAACAAGGACTTTGAAGTAATGGTGCTGTGCTGATAGAAATGATCCAAGGGAGAGAGAGAAAGCGCTCAGGCAAGGGGGCAGGGAGACTGGAAGAAGGAAGGTGAGGAGGAGGGGGCAGGGCAGCCCCCGCCCAAGCACAGGGCAGGCCTTTGGTAAGAGGGTGGACGCTCGGTCCAGTGTTAGCAGCTGCGGAAGCCAGGCGTCTGGGTCTGTGTGCGCATGCACAGAGAGATAGTGCCGAGGAGACAGCACCACAGCCCAGTCGCGTCTGCTTTCTCCGAGAGATGAGGCTGCTCCCTTGGGACGAGCCTGGCTGAGTGGTTGGGAGGCGGAGGACACAGAGGCAGCGGAGCTAGCCCGCCCACTGGAGCATCCGTCCCTTCCTGCATCACAACCCATAATTCGCTGCCACCTTCGGACTCCCCTACTGTGTTCAGTGCTTCTTGCGCTCTAAACCGCCCGCCGCGGGTGGGTTTTCAGATGACTCATTATTACTTACGATGACAATTATAACTCATTTTTACACTCTTCCTTTTTATAGCATGTTCTGTATTTATTCATTCATGCTGTCAGGGACTTTTAAAAGAATGATTCATAGCTGCCATTTTCTGTGTTCTTTACTGTTATTGTAAAAGGCATACACAGAGAACTGCAGGAGAGATACGGACAAGTTTAACAAGTATCATTTAAGAGAAACCGTTTCACCAGGGACATCTCATCCTTGCCCAGCCGTCATTCAGCAAGGGTAGCTGGGAGTCTCTGCTGTGTCCCCACCGTGAACTGGGAGCTAAAGTGTTTCAGGGTTCTCCTGGACTGGGCAGGGGGAGTCAAGAAAACGTGTCCCTGTCAGAGTCCGAGGTCAATCTAAAGTGGAGGTGTGTGCAAAATGCCGCCTGCTCTGATTAATCTTCACAGTAAAACATAGGCACCATTAACTTCCCTGGATCAGCAGAAGCCGGACAATCAGGGATGTGGAAGTCACAGCCCAGCCCCTATAGCTAGCGATTGAAAGCAGATCTCAGACCCAAGTCTTCCGACTCCGAATTTTACCTCACCTCCCAACCACTGGACAAGCAGGACAGAAGAAGCAGCCTGAGGCTCTTTACAGCTCACTGCAGCTTCTTTGGTCATTGCAGGGAGGGATGGGGAAGGGAGGGTGCCCAGCCAGCCTGTGGGAGACCCCTGGGGCCCCTGCCTGGGGAAACCTGGGCAAAGAGGGAGCCAGGGCTGGTGGGGTCTGGTCCTAGTGGTTGGGTCCCAATTCTCCTGGAAGCTAAAGGAAAGCTACGGGTCCTGTTGGACAGCCTGCAAGCTCTGCGCCCTGGGGCCCCTCTGCACCCTTGGCCTTGCTGTCCTGGCCCCTGTGCAGGAGTGAAACTCAGCCCCTTTTATCACCACCACCACGGATATTGCTGTAAAGTTTGAGATAATATTTGGATCTTCTTATTCGTGTATGTTTGCAGTAGTCATGTTCATTCTGGGGAATTAGTATATGCATATTACATATCTTGATTTTTCTTTTTTTGAGACAATGTTTTGCTGTATAATTCAGTCTGTCCTTGAACTCACTATGTAGCCCAGACAGGCCTCAAACTCATAGTGAGCCCTCTGCCTCAGCCTCCTAGGTGCTGGGAGTACAGTCCTGTGCCACCATGCCCATCCACATGGTGATTACTTGGTGTCTCTTTAGTCTCCTTTCCCTTACCTCTACTGTACGCCTGATCCCTTTACCTATCTCCAACACGTCTGCTTTCTTGTTTCCCGCCATCTCTCCTTTATTTTACTTATTCATTTATTTATTTATATTTTAGGTTTCTCCTATGAGGGAAACCGTGCAATATTTAATTTTCTGTGTCTGCCTTATTTCACTTGGCATCATAGTTTCCAGTCACGGCTTGAAGGAAAATGGGTGGAGCTCCGGTTCATATCTGTGAAGTAGGGAACAGCGCCCGTCACATGAGAGTCCACACAAAAAGAAACTTTCCCCCGAGAATGAATATTAGCATATTTAAGTTCCATTTTGCCTTATATTTACCTCCACGCTAGGGATGTAAAATTTCACTTAAAGGGGCTGGGGATTTAGCTCAGCGGCAAAAGCGCCTGCCTGGCAAGCGCAAGGTCGTGAGTTCGGTTCCCGGTACTGGAAAAAAAAAAAAAAAAAAAAAAAAAAATTTCACTTAAGTCCACACACATTCCAGAGAAAGGGCAATTGTGCTACTGAGAGATAATTCTTTGATTCTCTTTTTTAAAACATATGAAAATAAATCGGAGAATAGTGGACTCCATTCCTCACTTAGGCACAGATAGGAAACTTGCCTCCGTTTTCACAAAACAGAATAGGTCAACCATGCTTTAACCACTATCCATGAAGCACAGGCTGGCCAAGAACTAGACTGAGCCACAGCAGCCCCGCCTACAGGGCCCAGCTAACCACGTCCTTTAGAAATGGCCTGACACATCTTAGCTTCCGGGAATGAAGTCCTGTGTTTTCAGTTTCTAAGCTAAAGAGAAATCAGCCTTCCTGTTCCATGGGCCTGTCTGTCAACTGCCCTTCGCTCACAAAGTTAGACCATCCATATCCTGCCGCCCAAATTCCATAGAATTAGACAACGATGCTCTTTTAGCCATATCTCTGGGCTCAAATCAGTAGAAAAGACCTAAGAGGTTCAGGGTGGCCTGGCAGCAGGAGCCAACACTAGCTGTCTTATTTCATGGAAATGGTGTCCGCCTCCAGATTCCTGAGTTCACTCCAAATCCCAGCAATGCCAGCCTCACCCAGGCTGCTTTCCAAGCTCCATGCCTGCGTCTGTCCGGGGGTTTCTCCTTGCAGTCCACACGGGCACTTGGTCTTGCATGAAATCCTCAGAAATCTCCAGAGAAGCTGGGCTGGGGAAATGAGTGCTTTCTGCAGATGATGGCGAGGACCACTGCGTAGAGGTCAGTGTTGTTGCTGAACACAAGAATCAACCCTCAAGTCGGGGCCCTTCCCTCTGGGCCTCCGGCTGCCCACTCACTTGGCGTGCGGGCCTTTCCTGTCCTGCTCCAGGGAGAGCCCAGGTCAGAGCTGCAGCTCTGAGTGCCGCGGGAAGAGCGTGATTCACACATGGTTACCAAGACAAGGGCAAACACAGCCTGGCCCCTCCATCCCACCCAGCCCTCGAGGTCTCCCCCAGGGCCTGTGTGGGATGCTGGCGGGATGTGTGATTTCTGGCACCAGGAGTCAGGAACCCGTTTGATTTATTTAGATGTGGTGCCACCAATGGGTGGGTCTCCAAAGTTTTATGTGGCTTTCCACTTCAGATTTTCCCTTCACTGTCCTCCCTAGAGACCCGGCCAAGCCTCCCATGCTTTGGCCTGGTCCAAGCCAGCCCTAAGATCTCTTCTAATTAAAGGTTCTCTGTTGACATCTTTCATGTGGCAGCCTGGGACACTCTTAAGGCAAGTCCTAATCTGAGGACTCTAGCGTAGGTGATACCACACGGGTGGAACACAGGCCTCCCCACCCCCAGCCTTGGGCACTACCGTGTGTCCGAAGTTGTCAATCAAAGTCAGGAAGTAGATGAGATGAGTGTTCTGGGTTGCTCCAAGGTTCCATCTCTGGTCTTCACATCTGCAGTCACTTTGGCCGTGGCTAAGTGGTTTTCATCTTCCCCTCACCCTCAGATTCCATATCCTGCTGGACCCACCCAGCAACCCCTTAAATTGTACCGGGCTGCTTCTGACCCCTGAAGTAAACAGAACCATGACAAATGGCATGGCTTCCTGTGGTGACCTCTATCAGCCTGGCAGAAGAGGACTTCTTGGCATCTGCTCACAGACAGTTTCCCGGGATCCAGGACATGGGGCAAGGACACTGCTGCTCCCAGGGGGAGGGAGGGGGACACATCATCCGCATGCCAGCTCCTAAGGCAATGGACAGGCTGCACAGCAATGACAAAAGTGACAGCGGTATCTATTATTAAACAGCCCTTGTCATTTAACTGGGTAGTAATCTGGAAGCCATCTATTAAAGAGCTTGTATGTCAGAGATGATTGACTGTAAAGGGTACCCAAAGAGCCCGACTGAAAACTCAATGCTATCATTAATTTCCTGGACAAAAAATGCTGTGAACGGTTAGCAGCGTCTTCCACTCTGCAGGTGTGAGGAAGAAAGTGGTAACCAGGAGGCGTATACCTGCAGTCCTTCTCGTCCCTGTGCCTTCCAAAACCACCACTCCTTCCTAACTGACTGCTGTGCTTCCTCTACGGGGCGGACAGCAGAGACAAGATCTCAAATGTCCTGTCTGATCTTCCTGGGAGACAATCCATCTCCCCTTGTGAGATCATTTAGCCCTCCCATCCATCCATGTCCATGGATCCTTTGCTGTCCACACTAGAAGCCATCAGCTTGTCCTTTGCCCCAGGGCTGCTGGAGGACACCATCATTTCCTCTTCGTGGCCCTGGGGACATCCTGGTCCCAGACACCATTCCCAGGAGTGCTGCACCACTGACTTTTTCCTGGCCCTGATATCCCTCCTGACCTGGATGTTTTGTGCTCTACCTTGATAGTCATCCACAGCCAGCTCTGCTGCCTCATTCATCTACACTAGCCTCCTCCTCCTCCTCCTCCTC